GGGTTTAGGGTCTAGGGTTTAGCAGCAATAAGGATTAGGGCCCAGGGTTTAGGGTTTAGGGCTCAGATAGGGTTTAGGGCTTCGGGTATTTTAATGGATTATAATATAATATACCATGATATAAGAGTATACTACAACATACTATCAGATCATCGTAATAATAATGCTTCTAATAGAATTCCAATGCTAGTCATAAGAGTATTAATGACAACGATAGTAGTACAAAAGTACGAACAAGAACAATACTAACAAGCTACTGCCACCACGAGTTAATCATGGCAGCAATAGTCATAATAAGTAGTCATCGCAGTAATAGGCAACACAGTGATGCTTACATACATATATCTGACAAGAATAGCAGTAATATCAACAAGGTCGGCTTATGTCGCATCATCATCATCATCATCATCATCATCATCATCATGGAAGTTGTTGTGGCAAGTATCTTTCTCCTACCATCGTGATACTCCTTTTGTCTTACTACTGCTATCATGATGACTATGGCCATGGCTTTTATATGTTCTTGGTGACTATCGGCATTGTCCAGACGTTCGTTGCCTACCACCATAACACTGTTACAGCAGCTACGAGGACGGAGTCGACCACGACGAAGCTACAACTACGACTGCTGCCACTACTACCACCAATGCCACCACTAGTGCTAGCAATTGCACCAGCACCATTCCTGCTACTACTGCCACTGCGAATCTTGCAATGCCCGTGCCAGCAATGGTGCATCGTTAGTAGTTTCGTTGATCTTGCCAGCCTATCCAGAGACGTTCACATCCCCTCAGCGTACTTCCACGTCCTGCTGGGCCGGTCTTCCGCTTGCCACGAGCTTCCGATCCAAGTCACTTAGGTGAAGGGGGGTGGACGGAAAACATCTCTGGAAGATCTGCTGAGCAAGTCCCAAGCTTACCACGACAACGGTGACTGGCTTTTCAGAGGGCCTTTCGGAGCATGAAGCACCACATGAACCCGACCCCGAGCCGACAACTGTGCAGACTAGCCGAGGTTGTACAAGACGTGTGAGACTGCCAAGCCGCAGGCGCAAAAAGCGGAATTCGCATGAGACAGTTCTGAGGATCGTGGTGATAGGCCCTGATAGGCAATGACGGAAGTTCGCTTTAGATTTTCGTGCTTCTGGTGCCCATTCTGATGACATCTGGCATGGCAGAACTGTCCGCCGACGTGGGAGACCAACGGGCCTTCCTACAAAGAGATCTTGGGCCAGTCTCGCCTTCAGTTGTTCAAGGAATGTCCTACTGTGACTTGAATCAATTTCACTGGGCGTTTCACTGACTTGTAGGCCAAATCCGGCCAACCAGATGGCAGGACGTGTGCAGTCTGATGTTGGTGCATGCTGTGATGAGTATGAGTTCAACAGGAAGCGCCGCCCACCAACTGCAGCAGCAAGTGAAGCAGATGCAGGCTGGACAGCACCAGCAACAACAGCAGCAAATGCAGCAGCAGCAACAGCAGCAACAGCAGCAGCAGCAGCAGCAGCAGCAGCAGCAGCAGCAGCAGCAGCAGCAGCAACAAGAAATGCAGCAGCAACAGCAGCAACAACAGCAGCAACAGCAGCAGCAACAACAGCAGCAGCAACAACAGCAGCAGCAACAACAGCAGCAGCAACAGCAGCAACAGCAACAGCAGCAACAGCAGCAGATGCAGTCCCAGCAGGGCCAGTGAGTACCTCAGACCATTGCGTTTCACTGTGTCCTTGACTCCCCTGGCAGTGATGTCTACGGCACTCTAATGCGAGCTCCTCATTTAATTTGAGGCAGCAAATGGGCATGCAACTGATGCAGCCCACAGGCCCGAATCTCATCGAGGGCCAACTGCTAGAGCAGTTTTGTGGCTGGGAAGGTGTTCCTGAACGCACTATCAAGCGAGCCTGACGGCTGGCAGGTCCTGGCGGGCAGATGGGACAAGCAGGTTTCATCATGACCGTGCCAGGGTCCGATGCCTAGGCACGCTCACAGGCAGTACGGTTTTGTAATGGCACACTACCGGCTGCAATCGAGGCATGCAGGGACTAGCTGCAGTAAAGGCTGCGGTCGATGTCGTTTCAGCGGGCTGAGGTGTGCCAACGGACAGCAGCCGATGATGCCGTAACTTGGCTCCAGCGCGTCACATGAAGCAAATGTGCGAACAGCAACGCTGCGACGGGCCATGTTTGTGAGCCTATCACCTGCTAGCTAGCATCTCAGAGTGGGCAGACAATGCACTCTACTCAGCCGCTTCGCAAGGTTGCTTCCCAGCTACTTGTAGACACTGTCCCGTCAGCGTCTAGAGTCAAAGTGGGCGAGTACCTGATGCGAATTGGAAGAGTGCAGTGTAGTATCCCTAAGAAGAGTACACGTCGGGGGTCACTGCGCGGGCGCATAGGCAGCAGATGTTCCAGCAGATGCCGCAAGGGGCGTGCTGCTCAGCATTCTGCCGTCTTATTGTAGAGTGTTGCGACGATGCATTTGCTCAGGGTGGCCGTGGAAACAATGCTCAGGGAATGCGGTCCTGCCATGTTTGGCACGGAAATCGACTGCTTCTAGTTTCCGAGCGACTCAAAAAACCCTGCCTTCTCTGCCATTCTGTTCACGGATGACCGAGCCTCGTGCCAAACAAACTCGGACTGCTGCTGTGGAAGATGGCTTCCCACGCTCCTTTTTCTCCACCAAGGTCGGAGTCCTTCTTAATTCTTCAGACTTCGCCCACGATGTGGTGAGTCGGCCTGGGCAGTCGGTGTGATTTCTTAAGGGGAGTTCAAGTCCCTAGCCGTAACCGTGCTTCTCGAAGCTGACTTGTCTCATGTACCAGTGTAAAAAACTTGCCTTTGCTTGTGCTGCCAGGCAGCAAAATCAACCGCAGCCCCAAATGCAGATGCAGCAGCAAGGAAACCAGCCACAGCCACCTCCCCAGTACCGTGCAGCGATGGTCCTGTTCCGTTTCATGTTTAAATGCCGATCACAGCGTTTGATGCGTGGACAAGGCAGCAGATGGGTTTTGTGCCTCAGAACATGATGGGCGGCCAAGTCGTTGCCATGCCGAATGCTTACTTTCGACTTCGATATGCATCAGTTTAGTGACTCCGTCGACCTTTCAATCTCGACAGGCCTGGTGCGATGGGGGCTCCACAGGGCAACATGGGCATGGCCGAACACCGAGAGATGGCCTTGTGGGGTGCCAGAATGATGGCATGGCCGAGCGGCTGAGAGAGACTCTGAGGCTGGCATGGGCGCAATGCCAAAATTCGGACAGGTGGTTCCGATGATGGCCCGTGGCCGAGCGATGGAATGATGTAGACCCAACTTACAGTATGCATGGCTATGCCTAATCATGGCCCAAAACCCATCCCAGGTGCCCGCCGGCCAATTCCCGCAAGGTTTCATGCCACAGGCGGCTTCGAAATGCCGGGTCAGGTCTATCAATTGATCGAATTTCTGGATGGGTCTGTCCGTGGTGTTCCGTTTTGCATTCTCAAAAGTTGCACTGCTTTGAGCGGCAGAGATGCACAGGCGCAAGGCTGCATGTCGCAACCTTGGCATCGCACTTGCACTGTTTCGTCCAGCCTCATATGTCACTTGGCATGCTGAGGCAGCAAGGCATGCAAGGTGGCCAACAAGGAGATGGCATGATGCAGCGGCCCGAGGCTTTCAGAAAAGCTACAAGGAGGCTGCTATCGCACCCTGCTCAGCACAGCTTTGCAGAGTTTTGAAGAGCTGAGGATGCAAAATCAGATGATGCAGCCAGGCGGAGGCCTCCAGCAGGGCCTTGCACATGCATCAAACGAGCTACGTATTCCCTCAAAACCCCAGTGGGCACAAAGTCAACACACGCCAAGGACGGGTGGTTTGGAAACTGATAAGGTACCGCTTGCAAGGAGACATCTGGCTCCGGAATGTGAGAGTCAGGGTCCTGAATTCGCGTGTTCTCGCTGCCGGTCTTCCAAGCCCCGAGCCTGCAGGGGCGAAAGCCCTGAATCCGAAGTGAAGCTCAAAGCTTTGGAACATCAAACGATCCAAAAAACGCTGAGCAGGGAAGTTCTCCGATGCCTCGAATGGCCAGGTATGATGAGCATAGGTTCCGAGAAAGTCCAGGGGGACTGTTACTCATTTCCTCGCGTGGCCTTTCTTTGTGCATTAACAAATCCTGTTTGTCCGGCTACGGTCTGTCGCTTGGAGACTTGCTGCACAGGTGCGGGTCACATGCAGGGCTGCGGTTACCGCGGCATGGGCTCGCGACTTTGGCCCTGCCGGTGCAGCTAGCGCAGCCACTGACTCCATTTAGGGCAGATCGTGGAAGCTCATGCGAGAACCAAGGCAATTCGCCACAATGTAGGTAAGAAAGGCAAAGGTGATAGAAAAACTTCGAGTGAATCTTGACCTAGGTCCTGGTGAGTGAGTGCCGTGAAAGTCAAGGTGGGTGTCACAGTTGCGCGAGTACGGCCTGTTGCTGACCGTACATTTTGCTTGGCCGTCAGGTTGCTTCGTCTTGGCGCGGCGCAAGTTGCACCTCTGTGAATATCCCGGGGTTGGACAAACGCAGAAAGGTGTCTTTTACTGTGGCGACAACGACTGGTTTCTGTTGACCATGATTTGACATGCAGCTGCGTATGAAGTGCGCAGACTGCATTGTTTGTCTCATCCCGTCTTGAAGGTATCTCTGACCAGCAGCTTCTCCAAGCAATGCTTGAATTGCTGCGCTGATAGAGATTGCATTGCCTTCGCTCCACTTGGGTTTCCGAAACTGCCCCCAGCAAATCCGAGCATTTTGCACATGCTGCACATGCAGAGTCGCAGAGGCCATGTAAAGAACAACACTTCGGCTGGTTGCAAAGAGCGCTTGTACGGAGGGAGTTGTGTTCAGACTGTTGAGGACTCTCGAAGAAGAAACCCTTCCGAGCCTGGAGCGACACCATGCACGTGTATGTGGTTGTATACAAGTATACAGATATTTACGCACAGTATTAATCACAAACGCACACATGTATAAAAGCTAGTTCTTCCTTCTGTCTTGTTTCCTTCCATATATTTTTTTTTTTTACTTCTTTGTCTTCCGATGACTCAATTCCTCTTTCATGGTCTCCTTATCTATCTTTGTCTTCTAATGGTTCTCTCCCGTCACCCTGTTCTTCATTATGACCATCTTGTCTTCGATTTTCTGTCGAACTAAGTGTTTTTCCCACATCATGAATATAACCATGTGGCATATGTAACGAATATATATATATATATACATATATATATATATACATAATATAAAATAATATAATATAGTAGAATATATATATATATATATACACATGCATACACACGCACATACATCCTTTCCACGTGGTAGGGGACCCTCCCAGTTTCGGAGCTGCCCCTCTCCCGGCAGGCATGGCATAACATGCCGGGCAATGTGAATTTCTGGCTCCTGGCCCTTGCAGAACACTGCACCTTTACCCTAAACCCTAAACCCTGAACCCTAAGAAAAAACCCTAAACCCTAAACCCTAAAAAAAAACCTAAACCCTAAACTGTCAGCGTGGTCGAACACCCTGGGATCAGGTCGGCATCCTTTCGTGTGTAGTAGGAAGGAGTCCGGAGTACTGAAGTCTTGGACCCTTTACAGATGATAGGTGTTTACACATTTTCAAGCCAGGAGCCGTTATTCTTGAAACGTGGCTTGTCCGCGCATGGCTGCATGCAAACTGGACAGCCAACGCCCCTTTCCCGCCCCTCCCCCCCCCGCATTTGTACACGAAATTGGACATGTGTTGCTTCCCAGATGACCTGTCTTGTGTTTCAAGAGCAGGTCCTGGATGCCACCTTGTCCTACAGCCCCGTCCGGGCAGCAATTGCCGCGTGCATGCTCGCCTTCCAAATGTTACAGATGACAGTGGTTCCTTGCATGGAGACCTCGGGCACGCACCCTGCAGTCCAGGACGGCATCCCAAAATGTGCATTTGCCTTCTGACTGTTGAGTTGGTACTGTAGTTGTTGTGATGAATGAGGTGCAGCTCCGTAGTTCTGCAGAAACAATTATCACTCGTTGGCCTAACCAAAGCAAGAATCTCGCAATTAGAATGGCTTAGAATGTCGTGCCGTTCGCAAAACTCAGCTGGCAGCACTTCCCCGCATGTCAGACTGAAAGACAGACTAATGCGAAGCAAAAGAGCTCCGTGCTTGTTGCTACCTGAAGGTCCTGGGGTTGCTATACGGTTATGAGCACTTTGTGCTGTAATAGCCTGGGCTCAGGAGGGTACTATCCTGGTTCTACTTATGAACATGGATAATACCCCAAACCCACGGAAGGTTTAAGCAGTCTCCATAAGATCTCGCCGCAGGCGGTCACAAGCCCAAGTCGGAGTCTTAGCGTTCCTCAGCCATGACGACACGGAATCGGGAAGTGCGCGGCCCATGCCACGTGAGGCTGCGCGACATCATGAATATCAGCCAGCGGATATCTCGGAGGCTGTTGCAAACAGCTGGGCTCTTGGGGGTCCCAGTGGTCTGCGTGCAGTGCCGCGCCCCTGCACCCACACGACCGAGCGCCCGAGGCCAGCGGCCTGCATGCACGAACCGCGCATGCACGCGAACAAAAGCACACGGCAAACTACACACAGACAGACAAGCAAAGCCCAAAAATAAATACAAGTTCATGAAAAAAGAGGCACGCGAGCACACACACACACACACACAGACACACGCTCCGCAACAAGCTCATTCCTATCGGATCGTAGCTACCCATAATTACTGTTTTCTGTTTCACGACGCTCATTTTCTTCTGGTTTTTGCCAGTATTCTTCCCTTTTTTGACAAGAATGAAACCCCAAATACCAAGCCCCAAACCCTAAACCTAAACCCTAAAACCTCAAACCCCTAAAACCCGAAGCCCCTAAAAGCGATTGGCTTTCAAGCCTTGGCCTTTGCAGGCCGAGAACCCAATACCCCTTAATTAAGGAATATACCTTAAATCATAATATTAAGGCCCCTATAATTTAAGGTATATTCCTTAATTAAGGGGTATTGGGTTCTCTGGGTGCAGGCCGAGCTCATGCAGCATGCGCTGCGCCTCTCGGAGCTCGAGGCGGCGCAAAGCTTTTTTTGGGTTTCGCAGCACCGGAGGGGTTCAGGGGTTCAAAAGGGGGCTAGGGCTCTGAGGGTCTGGGGTTTAGGGTTTAGGGTTCAGGGTTCAGGGTTTAGGGTTAAGGGGCTCAGAGGGTTTGGGTTTAGGGTTTAGGGTTCAGGGTTTAGGGTTTAGGGGCTCAGAGGGTTTGGGTTTAGGGTTTAGGGTTCGAGGTCTAAGGATCTAAGAGTTCAGGTTCACTGAGGGTTTAAGGGTTCCGTTTTTATGGGTTTCGGGTTTAGGATCTGGAGCGCTTTGAGCTTGCGACAGGCTTTGTGTTGGAAGTGCTAGCAGAGCACTTACTATGGTCACGGTACTAATTACAAATACAAACTATGTAGTCCCATAGAGCGACTATGTTTTGCATGGTTCCTGCTAATGGTGCGTATTTTCTTCTGAGTAGCTTTGTCGTAAGGATCATTCATTGCATCGTTATTCCTTGTCTCGAGGTTATGCCTGCAGGCTGCAGCACCGTTTAATTGCGACACGTGCAAGTTCCCGCACAGGTCTTCAGGATTCTAGTGAGGTAATGGTCAAATGGGGGTTTCCGAAAATAGGGGACCCTAATATGGTACCCTAAATAGTAGGATCCTTATCATAAGCACCCAAAATAAGGTACCCCTTATTTTGGAAACTCCCAACTCTTCGGCGGGAGCTCCTGCTTGTGCTTGTGCAGCTCAGGCTCAGCAGCGCGGGCATGTGGTGGCTGGTATTTCCCCGAGCAGGGTTTAGGGTTTAGGGTTTAAGGTTTAGGGTTTAGGGTTTAGGGCTTCTTAATGGCTGTGTGCACGGATGCTGAACGCGGAGCTACTTGGGGTCTCCTAGGCAAATCTGAGACGGTAATTCCACTGTTGCTGTCGGGAGATATTCCCAAGTCGCGTCGACCCCGACAGTTTTTGCTGGTGTTCTCTGGTGCACTTCGAAAGATCTTGGGGTCATGGCTCAGCTAAGATGCAGATTAACAGCTAATGAGGCTAGAAGTTACAGGCATGGCTCATGCTTAACTCATGACGATGACCAGAAATGGATTGTTTACAGAGATCTTGAGATCTCACACCAAAGGCTCATGGGCCCTTCAGGAACTCTGGCCATCGCTGCATCGGCTTCCAAGTCGGCCTTCCTTCAACATCACCACGCAAGTGCACCGATATGTTGAGCTGTGGCCTTGCTGTGTCCTCGGGCCTTGCGCAAAGGAACGATGTAATCTCAGCCAAGCAGTCAACCCAAGCAGGGTGTTTGTTCATGGTGTCCTCCCCCTGCATTGTCTCTGCTCGTTCCTGCAGGCCCTAAACCCTAAACCCTAAATGTCGACCTAAAGGAAAC